CCGTGGTGCTGTCTGATGTCCAACTCAGCACAGGGACATCACCCCACTCCCTCACCTGGAGCCCAGCTGAGCTGCACACAGCCACTGTGCGCCTGTCCCAGGAGGTGACACCAGGGCTGGACGAGGCCACCTCTCCTCTTGTCACAGCAGCCAGTATGACTGCGGGGAGTACTGAGCCTGCATCAAACTCGTCTGACCGTGTCACATCTCCCACTGTGCCAGCAACCACAGGGTCTCCCCATCGTGTTGGAATACAGAAATCAGGGACCATGATCCTCCCAGGCACAGCCCCAGCAACAATCACTCCTTCTCCTGCCATTGACGGTGTCAGTGAGGCCACAGCCCCAGGGCTGCCAGCCCCCGGAACATCTGGAGATGGACTGCACAGAGACACAGCCATCACCCATGCCGGTGTCACCTCTCAGCTCCATGCCACCACCGCAGCAGCTCAGGGCACGTCAGCCACGGCCATGGATGTCAGCACTGCTCCGCATGTATCCACCGCCCCGTATGCAGCCCTGGGCAGTGCTGAGATGATGTCCATCACCACTGCTGAAGCCACCACAGGCACTGCTGCCCTGCAGACCGAGGACACCCCAAAAGGACTGGGTATGGGGACAGTTGCCAGTGTGGTTATTGCTGTGTCGCTCTCAGATGGTGTCCTTGGAGGAGGGTACAGCACCAGGACCCGGGCAGTGAGAGGTGCCTCTGCTGCCAACCCCAGTGGCAGCATATTTGGAAGGGCAGCAGGGACAGTGACTGCAGTGTATGGTGGCAACCCATATGGACCAGACACAGCCATGATGTCTCCAACTCCACGTGACCCCACTGAGAAGGGGACAGGCACCTCAGTGCCACTGCGCAGCAGCACCCCTCCCACGAAGTCTGTGGGACAACATAATGCTCAGCAGATCTCCAGTGAAAAGCCAACCCTGGGAACAGCCATCCCTCTGCAAGAGATAACAGTGACTGAGGCACATGTGGGTGCCACCAGCATGCTGACAGGTGACGTCCCAATGCCCAGTGCAGGTTTGTCTCCTGCAGTGATCCATGTCCGCGCAGTTCCTCCGGTGCTGGGAACAGAAGCACCTTCCTCAGCCACCAGCACAGCAGCTGATGATGATGCATTGGTGCAGCCTCACCGTGTTGGCACCGCAGAAGGGACACCGGGGACAGCACAGACCGTGGTGCTGTCTGATGTCCAACACAGCACAGGGACATCACCCCACTCCCTCACCTGGAGTGAGCTGCACACAGCCACTGTGCGCCTGTCCCAGGAGGTGACACCAGGGCTGGACGAGGCCACCTCTCCTCCTGTCACAGCAGCCATCACTGCGGGGAGCACTGAGCCTGCATCAACCTCGTCTGACCGTGTCACATCTCCCACTGTGCCAGCAGCCACAGGGTC